GAAGAGGAGCAGATAGGGTGTTGGCGAGAGTGTTCGGGGGGGGGGGGGGTGGGGGGGGGTGGTTTGTAAAAGGGGGTTTGGGGGGGGGGGGGGGGGGGGGGGGGGGGTGTTTGCCCCCTTCTTTTGTTGAATCTCTATATATGAAGAAGAATGTTTGTCTGTTCGCTATGTATTCCTAAACGGTATGAGCAAATGCAACCAAACTTTCCAGAAATCTTCCTCTCACCCAGAGGAAGGCCAACGTCTACTTTTTTCAATAACAACTTATCCTTCGCCCAGAAAATGCCTGCCTAAATTGCTAACCAATCAGATTACTGTATTCTGTATATAGAACTATCACTGAGTACCACTTCCTGAACACACAGAAATATGAAAACAGCGGTTTTCGAGGATGGCCAGTTCGAATCTGAGGTCTATTCGCCTCGAAATCTGATTGGTTGTTTGGAAATCAATAGGAATTCAGCTCTTAAAAATATAGACCAAAAGGCTTATGTCTTCAAGGAAATAATAGGGCAAGGATTTTTTCGAGACGGTGAGTTCCAATGTGAGGTCTATTTGCCTTGAAATCTTATTGGTTTGCCGAAAACCAATAGGGATTCAGCTCTTAAAAAAAAACAGAACAAAACACTTATACTTTCAAGGAAAGGGTGGGGTAGGGGTTTTTCCAGGTGGTGAGCTCGAATGTGAAACCTGTTTGCCTTGAAATCTTATGGGTTAGCCGAAAACCAATAGGAATTCAGCTACTAAGAATCCCAGCTAATTAACCTTGGGTTCTTAGGAAAAAAGTCAGGTAGGGGTTCTAGAGACAATGAGTTCGATTTAGGGATCTAAGCACTGAATGTGGGTACAGGGGGCGGGAGCAAGTATCTTCTTCTGTTTATATGACAAACAACGTTTGTCTACCTGTTCTTTGTGCATTTGATTTTGGTAATAACTAGCCCCATCAAAATTTCGATTGTGTACTCTTTAGTCGAGAGAAAAATTGAGAGTAGATTGGCGCGGCAGTCAAGAAAAGGAAGGTAATTGGATGTAATGCCACTCAGGTTGTGAAAGTTAAAAATTCTCTATTTTCTATCTCTAATGTACGATCAGCAAAATAATCTTGACAAGCTACGCAAAGAGTAAGCATATGTTCATATCACGACTCTTCATGGTTCCTACTGATATGCCTTTTGAATTCAAACGTCTATAATTTCCAATTCGTCTCACTTCCGCGATGTCCATCAACAAAGCTCAAGGAAAGTCTCTTAAGATTGCCGGCATTAACATAGGCATTTCTTGCTTTTCTCACGGTCAACTTTACGTGGTATGTTCAAGAGTTGGAACTGGAAAAATGTGTGTGTCTTTGTCCCTGATTCGAAAACTAAAAACAGTGTGTATAAATCTGCTTTACAAAACAACTGTTTTTCCAATACAGATAGATTTTTTAAAACCTTCTACTGTGCCAAGGATGTACTATCAAATTTCCCGAGCAACGCCGGGTATCTCCGCTAGTATCCTATATTCCGTAAACCATCTATGTTTTAGTAGAGTCTATATAATTTCAAAATCCAAGACCTTTTAGAGTTCCACGGATCTTTCATCTCAATATTCGAAGTCTTCTAGAAGCTTCCATAAACTTTGAGACTTTTCAAAATTCAAAACTGTCGAGAACCTTTGCGATCCTTCTGTAACTGGTTACCTCAACGTCCTAATCTTTGACTCGGTAATAAACAGACTAACAGACAAGCAATCACCTTTTATTATAGTGGTATGGATTTATGACATGTTGGAAGGTTTTTTTTTCTTACTTGATCAGCTTCAATTAAACCTGGAATATTAAAGATCGCATAATGATAATTGTCAAAAGTGATCTCTTGATATTCCGTGCGATGAGTCACAGATCGAGCAGAGAATTCATGTTTGAATACTTCTTTATCAAGTAATATATTAGCCAAGAAACTTTTGCCAACACCACTATTTCCAAGAATAATTAGACCAAACGGACTGCTATTGTTATTTCTGTGCATATCTGAGCTTCAGTGATGGTGTTTGTTAACGACTTCAGTTATATTGTGAATGAGTGTTGCATTTTTATTTTCATGACATATTTATCTTGATCAAAATTGTTGGTGAAAGGAAGATAAGTCATGTTGTCACTCATAACAAACATTACTAATAGAAGAAAATGAAGTCAAATATTTACTTTGAGCAAGTCTAGTCATCAAATAAAAATTAGTCAAACTGTAAAACGTATGCTGATAAGGAATAAAAGAATAATCATTTTAGAATATTCCATGTAATTTTGTGCAATATATCAGGTTGTTAAGATACGAACGCAATGTTGTCAGCAACTTGCGTTGGTTTTTTTCCCGTGTTTCTTTACTTTTCTTATCCATATATTTATGCAATGAGTCTAATATTCGTAAGCATCGTGCACACATTGTGTAAAAAAGAACCATTCAAAAACGATAGGAAGTAACGAATGAAGTTTTCTCCAATCTCATTGAGTCTAGTAATTGCAGAACTAATAATGTCATCGATTTTATTTTCTTAGATTTAGACTATCATAAATGATAACATCAGAGACAATCCCAGAGGTGTATGGATTAATTATTTTGGGTAATAGTGGTGTGGGTAAGAGCTTTTTAGCTAATATTATTCTTGGCAAACAATATTTCAAACATGATTTTTCTGCTCGATCTGTAACACATTGAACTGAATCAATACTATGCATGTTAGACAATAAAAATTATAGAATTTATAATATTCCTGGTTTGATTGAAGGTGATAAAGAGCGTATCACTCTAAATAAACTTGAAATCAGTCGAGCATTTGACGAACAAAAACAACATTCACTTGTTGTTATTTATGTATTTGGACATCAGAATGGAAGAATTCGAAATGAAGATATTGTTACATTTCGAGCCATTCATAATGCTTATACACTTAATCCAGATTCATTAATAATTATAGTTAATGGATTACCTCCTGATCGACCGAATAATTATAACAAAGATACTCAAGCTACTCTTATTGATTTACTTGGTATGAAACCAAGTCACATTTGTTTCATCGATCGTTTGACATCATCTGATATAAATCAAAATCTTCGAATGTATTTAACTGATACCATATTAAATGTTCATCCTCGAATACATATTAAAACTAATGATATTCATTTGATGACTGATGATGTTCTTCAACTCCAAGCTAATCTCGATATGATACAAATTCAAATGTATAACGAACAAATTGAACATGAAGATGTTATAACAGGTATGGATCGAGAAATTGAAGCGGCTCAACGTTTATCAAGTAAGAAAAGTTTTGTAGGATATGATTATGATGTAGGTAATAGGCACATATTTTTTTTTAGTTTTAAGACGTTTATTTTGTCAAGTGAAAGTTGATCTTCGTCGATTAGTCAATTTTGATGAACAAGAAAAACATTTAATGAATATTATTAAACAATGGGAAACAGAAGAAATTCATTATAAAAATGATTCAATATCTGATCATTATATTATAGCTATGAGCAATAGGCAAAATGCTGAAGAACAATTAAGAAAAAATTTTTCTTCAAAACATCAAGTTAACATTTCTCTAAATGTACATCGAAAAGATATTGAACAAATTTGTTTTGAATTCGAACAAATCTATAATGGTCTATTTGATCGTCAGCATGAATTTGTTCGTGAATATTATATTCTTTTTGATGATTTACGTTTTGATCCATCCATTCAACAAGTAAAGCATAACTTTATTAATGATTTATACGCATTTACACTTGAACGTTTTCATGATATTGATTAAAAATCTAGATAAATATTGTTTTCAATTTTCATGAATGTACAATTTTTTATTCTTTAAACAGTAATAAGACGTATTATCTAGAACAGAAAAGAGAATCATTGGAATGTGATTAACTGACAAATAATAATGATCAAAATGACCAGAATTTTCTATTTATCTTGTCAAATGACTTCCATCAATTATTTAATTCATCACTATTGCTATTATCTTTTGGTCGATTGAAAAGATGACATCGATTAGAAAGAGAACAATCAATTTATGTCAAATTCACTATGAGATACAAATGAACCAAATTGATTTATTGAAATCTAAGAAGAATAAGAATAAAGTAATCGTAAATTACTTCAATATGTTTTTCATATAGGGAATCAATAGGTAAATGAAGAACAATTCAATTAATCCATAAGCAATCAGCTTCTGAATCAGCATGAAATTTTATTGTTATATATTCGTTGATTTCTTCCATTTTACTTTTCTCTGAAATATAATATATATATATATTTCTGTTAATGACAAATGGAGAGTCATGTTAATGTCTTTGATATCCTTATGGACATGATATTTATTCGACTATGCATTACATCCGAATGTAACCATCTAATACACAACATGAGTTAATGAATGAGACAGAACAGAAACAATAGTTGGTACTATAAAAAAAAAAAAAAGGAGAAGGAAAAGAGGAAAGATATAACAGAGTATTACGTATTAGATGATTCTTCAACAGTTATCGAAAGGAAGTCTATCTTCATATGTAAACCGCATCGATATAATAACATCGAGCAGATGTGCTTGCTACCGTCGTATGACCTCATAACGATTACTGTAATTAGAAGAGACGACGCGCTTCTTGGCATAACACATACAATCGTATCGTTTACATATAAAGGACACGTCTATACACACGAATGGAATAAGAAATGATGAGATCAAGAAGAGAACAGTATTTATAATATATAACTAAATGAGAAGCACATAATGGCAAACAGAGAGCACAGTTTCATCATGAATAAATAAATGTTAGAGTAACATGGTTAAGAACATTACATATCATTGATATTAGAGAGTCTACTAGCAGAAGTCTATGGGAAAATCGATGATCTGCATATATGTTAGTAATAATAGAATTTTCCTATTGGGTCTCGCATGTATCTATCCTTTATTTCAATGAATATTCAGAACAAAACATGTTAAATCGAAAAATAAACGAGAGGGAAGAGGAGAATAAAGATATGATTAGTACGATCAGATGAATTCAGTGGACGAGAAGGACTCGGAAAGAAGATATGTTTGTTATAGAGAGAGAGAGAGAAAGACCTTGAGGTTGTTATTAAATATAGAAATGTTTAAGAATTATGCTGTGTACATTATACCAAACATAAATTTTCTCATATGTCGTTGAGGGTGTGGGTGTGGGTATGGGTATGGTATGGCTGTTCGAGAAAAAAAAGGTACATTCACATCAACACCCACACCCAAGATACTTCTTTTTAACATTCTTTTATATATATTTTCGTGGCATTTACTACGTTTATTTTTCTTCGCGAATATCCATGATAGAAATACAAAAATATTTTTAAGATAATGTCAATTATGTAAATTCAACGGACATACTAATATAAAATTAGGGAAGAAAGATAGAGGAAGAGAGAGAGGAATGGACGTATATGTTGGCGTCCAATCTCGGATTGGACGTAAATTCATCAGGCCAATTAGAGATTCGCCTAGGTCAATTTGAGATTCGCCTAGGCCAATCTGAGATTGAACGCTCAATTTTCAGGCGAATCTGGGATTGGACAGAATCCGAGTATGGACGCTGACATATACGTTGAAAATAATATTTTTTCCCTTCTCCTCGTCCATTCGTGAAATAGAAATCATAAAAACCATTCAACCAATTAACTGAGATAATGAATTTATTTCTGCAAAATTCATTCAGTAAAAACAGATAAAACGAACATTTCTTATATCAAATATAAGAATAAAACTATCATCTCATTATCTATTATGATATAATATTACTTAGCGCTTTTAAATGACAAAGCAATTATTATAGTTCTATTAGATCGTACATTAGATCAGGTTATGCTTGAGTCATCGAACAGAACTATTGATGTCGTTTCAAGATGAATATTAGAATAAAATACAATCGTTGAGTGCAAAACATGCTTGTCAACAAGAAGCCCAAAAAAGACGGTACGTCCTAGAGTTATAAAAATCAGTATTAATGAACATCAAGATTGATTGAATTTTTTTCTTCTATATCATGTAGTAGTACAAACATTTCTGAATGTGAAATAGCTAATTTATTTTTTCTTAGGTTGTCTCATGTAGCTGAAATGTTTTGAAGAAGATAGTAGGGTAATATGAAAGAAGAATACTATTTTTGTGTTGTTTAATTAGTTAAAAAAATATTTAATTGAATACGCTGGATATTATTTTAATCTTCGTATTAAGAAAGAGGAAAGGAAGACGGATAACTTTTCTTTTGGAAGTATTAGTTGAATTTGTAAGGTAGAAGCAGTAGAGGTTTCACAAGTTATTTTCTATTAAAATGGCTAGAATGATCCGAATTACCCCAGGTGAAATAGCTTAGGTGATCCGAATTACCCCAGATTGATTTCTAATTATTGAAATATGGTTGGCAGTGGTGTTCTTGTTGTAAATCTTTTAGTAGAATCGGTGTATTCATTCATCAGGATATTTTCAGGTCCCATAGAGGACAGTTCAAGCTATCAAATGATATATTGTCTTTTTTAAAAAGCATTCATAAAAAATGATTTAAAAGTTGGGGGAAAATGTTGCAGTCATTTTTGCTGGAATGATCCGAATTACCCCACGTGGGGTAATTCGGATCAATTTCATATAGCTTTTACTATTTTTACCAATACTTTTTCTTAGTATATGATTTTTCGGAGATTCCTTCGTTAATTGATAGAAGACACTTTGTTCTAGTTATACAATAAGAAACCACTCTGGTTGAATTTACAATGGCTAAGAACGAAGTAGAATAAAATGAAATTTTAAACTGCTGATCCGAATTACCCCAGATGACTATATATGGTAAGTTGAAAAATAAAAGACATATAGTAATAAAAGAAAAAAAAACAAAGGGGAGAAATTCATTTAGCCCCCATAGTCTTATGCCAAATACAGTTCAACTAACATTAAGTATTCAACATCCAAGTGAACTTGCTCTTCTATTGAAACGTGGTCCTCTACCTGCAATCGAGCATTTAAATGTAACTAATGAGGAAATGCTTACTGCTCGGCCACTATGTCAACATAAACCACTATCCAATATTCAACTTTGCGAACATAATCTACGTCAAATAGCTGATGATGCTCGACTGTGATCTTTCCTCTTACGTTTTATAACTCTTAAGGATGCTATTATATTGATTAGCTCGTTAACCATGTCTGCACTTGAAAAATTTACATTTGTTGATTTGTATGATCATAGTAAGTTATCATTTGTTATTTCTTTATCAATTATTCTTGCATTATCAACTGAAATAATTCATTTTCATACCGTATAGTGATATCACAGGTTTTATTCGAAGCTTCTCATATCGATTTCGGTTTTAGTCAGTAGATCTTTTGATTCCATGAGTTCGATTCAGTCTGTAAGCTCATTTATTTGGTTTAAATTTTGAAAAACCTGCATCGATTCCTTCGCTGATTCCTTATTAAATTAGTTTCTAATCATCAAATAAACTTGAGACATGAAAGATTATTATGAGATATTTGCAAAAAATATTTTGTCGCTAATCTAGTTCTGAATGTAGTCATTCTTTTCGTAATTCATCATATCTAAAGGACGTCGGATCTATTTTCTTTCGAATATAATTATTTCTTTTACTATTAGCTTTATTTTTTATTCTTCCTTGCAGCACTAGATCATGTTGGCAAATTTCAAGAACTTTGTATTTCTACACATTTACCTGCTTTGAAAGATCTCCATTTTTCGTTTTGTTTTCCTCAAGAAATGAAACGCATATGGCGAATGAATTCATTCAGTTACAATGGCGAATGGCCTTTTGATAATCTTGGTTGTTATTTAGATGATAGTTGGATTTCTGTTGATGGTGACCTAGACTTTGTCACGAAGACACTATTTATCGTCTACAAACATCCGATAAATGTGTTATTACAACTCAAACGAACCTTACATAATCATCACTTAGCACCACATGCAATTGTTCCTATCGTTACTACTCGACGACCGTCACTTGAAGTGACTTGTGATCAAATAGACCAGCCTGACCAGTTGGTTAAAAATTTACAAGTGGTTGCAAGCAGTTGAGTCGATAAACTTCAAATAATATGTGTATCTGGACGGGTAAGTAAAAAATAAATACTGTTAAAACATTCTTTTTGTATTATGTCGAAAGTGAATCGAAGAAATTATCATTTTTCAATTTATTGCAGTGCAGAGTTTAACTATAAATGTTTTAATAAGCATTTAAGAATACTTTTATTTTTGATATAGAACAAAACAATATTAGATATTTGCTTATATAATCAGTAGAACTAGATCATCTAGATTGGTTGATTACATGAGAGAGCTCCCGAAAAATGTCTTACGCGATTGAACTATTTTTATGAATTTCATTATTGTACTCATCGCTTATTTTTCATTTCTCACTGTCTTTTGATTAGTAAAAATTCGAATGATTTTGATTTCTTATGCTGAAGTTTAAAAGTTGAAACCTACGATAGTCGAGATACAAAAGCTGACTATTATTTGATAAATTTCGTTCAAAACAGAATCACATGGTTCAAACGAGCTGAAATTTAAAATGTTTCTTCATTTCTAATTATACTTTTCAGTATGAATATAGATATCGAAAAGAGAAAAATAAAGGAAAAACATGACAAAAAACTAGCAGATGCAGCAAAAGTTCTCCATTATTTTTGTTTTCGATGTTGCGATGTGGTGGAATGTCGAAAAATTTTGTTTTCTTTCTATTAGAAAGAGTAAAGTATCTAGTGAAAAAATAAATAAAAGTAACTTATTTACAATATTTGCCGAAGATAGTATAAAAATTTTAGAACAACAGGTATCGGAAAACTCTGTCATCACGTTTGTTGCGCTTAGACAATATTTTGTCAAACTAGATCGATTGTAGATGTGGGTGTGTGTCCTCTCTTTATTATTTATACCGGTACCCACACCCACACCCAAATCAAGGAGGCAAAGTAATAATATATATTAATCTGTTATAGCAGTCATATATTTAATATGACATGTATGATTCGATCTTTTTATCAGTGTGAATGATAAACAATATCGGCATTATGGATTAATTGAGACATAAGCTAATGTAAGAGTTGTTAATGCGTATAACCTACATTATTCTAATAGTTCTATTAATTAAATAATTGATGGTGAAGAAAAATAATTTCAAATTAAAAAACAAAAAAAAATGATTAATATCGAGTATATAGCAATAATTATAAATGAAATCGAGCGCGTTTAAATGAAAAAAATAATATTTTCGTTTTTTAATATATTTTTTTAATATACAAATAAGTAATAAATTACCGCTCTTTTCATTGATTTTCAATGAAAACAACTATAGTTAACAAGAAGTCTTACAGTATACAGATGATGCGTCAGGTAACAAAGCTAAACGTATACGTGAGTTCCACAGTTCAGCTCCGCAGGAGCTGCGCTAACAAGCTTTTTTTACCAAAAATAAGAAAGTTGAGTATCTCCTGCATTATATTGTCTCAATGACTTGATATTTTTTTTGCATTGATAAAGCAAAATTTATAGTCTATATTTATGCGAAACGTAAAAAGAATAAATTATTGGCATGTGCCAATATCGCTATTTACTTTATAAAGAACTAACATGGATGCACTATTGAAAATAGCACAATTTTTTTGAAAAATAGAGTCTCATCAGTTATGCAGGATTAATAGCAGACACAAATGAAAATCTCTCGAAGTATTGATCAGTGAAAAACAATCATTCATCTTCTCAAGAAGGAAATAAAATACATATTGGGCATGGGTGTATATGTCTCGTGGACATGATGAGAAGAACAACACCCACACCCACATCCCCTCACATCCATAGTTGAGAGTATGCAACAGATCTTGGCTATCAACTAATTTCACAAATGTAATGACCGCGACCACATTTATGAGACTAATATGATCCCAGTCATTGTGTGTGTTGAATTAATTGGTAACAAAATACTGCCACACATTTTAAAATATATATAAACTGAAAGAGCAAATTTTTCTGTACAAAATGCAAAGCCATATGATATTTTGGGTGTGAATGGATGTAAAGAAAAGATCAACATACATAACCATATTTTAAAAGCATAGTAAGTCGTTTTATGTATTCATATTCCTCTTGAGAATGATCGTCGAGTAATTGAATTAAGTTATTTATATCGATCAGAGTTTTAAGAGACTAGTTTTTTTCGAATAATGATATCAAGGAAATGCATTTGTTATATCCATTTAAAAATCTTTCCTCCTTTCATTATTACTCATTATCAAGAATACATGTATTTATCACAATTTCAAACTTAAACATTTCTCTAGTTTCATACAAAACGCGTTGTTATGGAATTTTGAAAAAAAGACGATTTCATAAACGATTATCAGATGAAACGAATAGTTGTGTTCAAAATAAAGTAAATTTCTCGTATCAAACCATAGAGAATTAGTAAGATGTTGATTTTATAGTTTTCTTTCTCGTTCATTAGAAGCTAATGAACACACATTATTTTCTTTCAAATAGTCTCTACTCGATATCTTAATGATTGTTTCTCTTGTGGAACTCACATATATTTTCGAAGAAAATAGCGAGTGCAAGTTTTAAGTTCGAAGTTTTGCGGTTCAAACCTCACCCCCCCCTTCCCTTACAGGCACATAGCAAAGGGAAAGACAACACTACAGACCTTGGCAAATTCGTGAAAAAAACTTCTGTTTGAAATTGAGAAATAAAAATAGAGCATTATCTAATAATCGATTATCTTTAGAAAAGAACTATTATCTTTTGGAGATTTTCACTGTTGAGTATTTTGTCATTAGTATAATGAAACCAAAAGAGATATGTGAGTTTCACATTTCAACCCCAAAACGGCTGCGCTAACAAGCTTTTTCATATTATTTTCTCGTTGAAACTTCCGCGTTTTACGTAAGAATGACATGATTTTGACAAAGATTCAAAACATTATTGGATATAACGTGTGTCCCATAATAAATGACCCTCTCAGTATTTTGCATATTTTTCACCTATAATTCAGCTTAGAAAAAAAGTTTTTTTCTAGAAAGATTTCGTGTCAAATTCTCTACAAAACGCGGATATTTTTATTATCTTAAATAATTTTCATTATTTTGTAACATGCGATACAATCGATTGGTCAAAGAAGCACAATTTTCAAACAAGAAGTTTTTCGTAGGATCAGCATGTCTCAAAACTGCTGTGCTATGAAGGAACGTATCTCATTAGGTTTTGTAGACGAAAGTTTGCTCTATAACGCAGTATAGTCGAATTCTCAAATACATTTAAATACTCTGAAGAAATCTCGATGGAAGATTGCATAGGATCAAAGAAATGATACCTTCTGTTTTCAGGGAAGATACCATGTACAAGGTTCTAACGGAACTTATTCATAATATTCCAGTGTATCTGAAAAATCGGCTACAGGGTTTTGTAGAACAGACTTTCCTCTACAAAACTTACTACCTCATATATCTCCACAATACGACCGCTTTGAGATATACTAATTGACTTTTCATATTACTCACCAGGCGAAGTTGCATTTCAAGCTTGTTTAGTATTTCGACTATAAAATTGTCATTTATAAATGGAATTCAAAAAGCATTTTTTTACCAAAAGAATCAGCGAAAAAAGCTCTACAAAAACTCATATGAAAGAAACTTTTTCTGAACACTTTGCGTTGCTTTTTGATTGACTTCTCATGAAACTATCTGCTAGAAACTTCTTGTTTGAAAATTGTGCTTCTTTGACCAATCGATTGTATCGCATGTTACAAAATAATGGAAATTATTTAAGATAATAAAAATATCCGCGTTTTGTAGAGAATTTGACACGAAATCTTTCTAGAGAAAAAAACTTTTTTTCTAAGCTGAATTATAGGTGAGAAATATGCAAAATATTGAGAAGGTTATTTTTTATGGAACACCCGTCGTTTGCACTGAAAACGACAAGATGAGTTTTACAATATTAAATTTCACAGCTAGTTTCCGGAAATCGCCAAAAATTCATATTTTACATTCAAATATTATACTAATCAAATCTAGAGGAAATTCATTAAAGACAAAACTGAAAGGTATGACATGACTTTTGGCCATTCATGCAAATGTAATAACAAGTTTCAGGCATTTTTTTTCAATTAAGTAAATTATAATTTTTATATGCTAAACATTGAAATCAAGTATTCTATGTTTTTGAAAAAAAAACAAACAAATGATGCTTCTCAGCTTTTGTGAAGTATCGAATTAGAATTTGTTGAATCTGATACAAAAACTCAAAACATTCAACTTACACAATATTCTAACATGCAGAGCACTTACTATGTTGAACATTCGATTCAACTTTAATATTGTTTATTGATCATGTTGTCTACTACTCATACTAGTCATTTTTACTTCCATTTATCTTATATAATTCTTTGATCTTCCATTGAAGTCTGATATTTTTCAACTGCTTCATTGTCAAAAGATAGGTTTTTGATTTAATTCACAAATGATTGGATATTATTAAAATTTGTGTTTTTATGGAACTTTCATTAATTATCAAAAATTAAATGTTAAATATACCTTTTCTGTCTTGAATGCTTGATTACATTCTGTGCCTTCTAAGGAGTCAATTGACGTCATTTCAATTTAATTAATGTTGTATTTATATAAAGAAAATGTTTCTTTTAAATACAACATCAGAGCACTTAAAACTAAAAGAATTCACTAGATTAAATTACTTTGCTTTTACTTTTTTTCGTATTATATACATTAATATAAATTCGCTGCAAATGTCAAATCGTACTAATTGTGGAACTAATGATTATGAAATATATTGGTGTAATATAATTTCTCTTCTAAATCAGAATATTTCAAGATATTGTATGGGTCTTATATGGTTTATGGGAAATATTGGATCAACTATCAATTGTATTATCTTCTCTCAACGAAAATTTCGCCGAAATTCATGTGTCCTGTATTTTCTAGCTTCTAGTGCTTCACAATACATCGTTTTTAATTTTGTTCTTGTTACAAGAATACTTCGTAGTGGATTTAATATTAATGAAGTTAATATTTTCTTTTGGTTTTGTAAAATACGCAATTATTTCTCTCTTGCTTTTATTGCTATTCCACGTTATTACATTGTTTTCGCATCTATTGATCGTTATTTTGCTAGTTGTTCTGATATTTATTGGCGTCGATGGAGTTCATCAAAGACTGCAGTGCGATTAATTATTGGTAGTTTTATATTTTGGTGTTTAGTCTATATACAGGCTATTGTCTTCTATGATATTCAAAACGGTACCTGCTCATATAGGAGTGGTGTTTACGGAATGTTTTTTACTATTTATCTATTGATTGAGAGTGGAATATTACCACCATTGCTCATGATGATTTTTGGACTTATTACAATCAAAAATATTCAACAAAGTAAACGAAAAACAAGACCAATAACACTAGTTAATGGTGTTCGATCTGCAGAATTTACTGGAATGTCAGCAAAAGATATTCAATATACTAAAATGTTATTTAGTCAAATATTAATTTGGACAATTTTTAACATGATCAATCCTTGTGTTCTTCTTTATCAAACAATGACAATAAATGAAACAAAATCATCTTTGCGTTTAACAATTGAAGCATTTATTAATAATATGAGTTATATGTTTATTCATTTGGAGTTCTCTTTAACATTTTTTATTTATACATTGTCGTCATTATATTTCAGAAGCGAATTGATGCAATTCATTCAAAAGAAAATATTACGTCGTTTAGTATCAAATGCAATTGGGAGTAATAATACCTAACTCAAGGAATTTGATCACTAACTACAACAATCTTTTCGAAATAAAACCAACGTAGATGTTCAACACAATTTGTTGCATTTTCATTGTTTTTTGAACGTTTATCTATCATTTCTTTCTAATTTTTGTTGTTGTACGTATATAGTTGATGTAAACATTACGAAGCCAAATTCTAATTCAATATAATTTTTGCCTTTCCTAAATGGAGCTGACAAATTCTAGAATTGAAAATTTTATATGCTATTCGTTTACATTAAAGTGGATCTTGTTTCTTCTATCAATTATTGACATTAAAAAAATAATTCATATTCATATTCAAAAATTTATACGATGTTTTTTATGATGAAAAATAGTTTCATTTGCCATTACAATAATTTATTGAATGCCGAGAGTTAGAATATTAGTATGGTTGTTTTATTATCTTTATCTACAGCTAGATTCATATTCATAAGCCTACGTACAATTCACTTCATATGGAAACGAAAAAAAATCAAATGATTGATATGTGAATAGAACAGGATTGTAATTTGTCTGCACTTTTTAATATTTTATATTATGCTTTATTTGATATTTATAGTCAAAAAGTCCAGCTGAATCTTCAGTTATTGTGCTTATTACAGGAAGAAAACAGACTTCGGCACTTCATAAGATTCTAAAGATGTCCAAAGCAGCAAAAAACTTTTATAGTCTTTAAGTTTTTTTCACTATACAAATAGGCTTAGTCGAACACGAGTTGAAAAAAAAAGTCATTTTTACGCGAGAAAAGCCACATTCGCTTGCTTTACGAAATGAGAAATTCTTATGAAATTCAACGCTGTGATAATCTGAAGTTTGTGATCTTCAGCATCTGACACATATAATCATATGGGGTGTGGAGTGTAGGTGTGAGTCTTATCTCTTCGCGTTAGCACAAACATCCACATCTAGTTCAACAGCCCATTACGTCAATATATCAAAAATTTCGCGAAACTGATTCAGTTCAAGACAACACTCGTACAGGAAGACCGTCAATAATAAAAGAAGAAAAAGTTGAAGAAGTTCACAAGATCTTAGAAAATGAACCAATAAACACCGTAAGAAATATTGCTCAACTGGTGAGCATTTCAAAATATCAAGCATATAGAATAATACGTGATTTAATTGGATATAAACCCTATATGATGCATAGTACTCAAAAGTTGTATAATGAAGATATGAATTTATGTGTAGATATGGTAGAACATTTAATATCACTTCTTGAAGAATCAGAAAATGATGATTATATTTTGTTTTTCGGATGAATCGACTTTTTTATATTTCCGAAGTTGTCAGGAAGCATAACTGTTGTATTTGGACTGCAAATAATCCACATGTTAATATGGAAAGTGCAATGAACTCTATGATACATTAAATAACGTTTTCATAGGTATTATGAAAAGATTAAAATTTTTTATTGATGTGAATGATGATACTTTTGAACAGTACATGAAGGAAATTTTAGCACCAAATTAAACTTGAACATTTCTCTTTCAAATAAAAAAAATTTCTCCAATATCACCGAGAAGTAACGGAGATATTCAATTTTCCAGATACTCTGTATGTATTTCAACTTAATCATGTAATAGCATTTCAAAGTAATACCGTTTAGCGAATATTGTGATAGAAAAAGTATTGTTCTATAGCATAACAGGTATTAACAAATGATTCAGCACATTGAAAAATATCATTAATATTGATTTGACCACACTTTGTGTAAAGTAAATTTAAGACAAAAGAACAGTTAATGTCGTCAGTATTTGACTCATAACTTTTTACGAAATTAATATAAGAGTTTTAGCTCTTCGTCATTTTGTAGAGCGTCAGGTGGCTATACTAGTCTACTTCTTAAAATTTAACATTCATTTTGTCTTCATAGGATAACCGTCTAATATTCCAAGATGATTGGGTCATAGCTCATTTACAAAATAAATGTCAACAATTTTATAGAATCGATGCGCTGGATAAGCCTATATATGTACGAAAGCATTATTCGATATTATGATTCAATTGGAGAAGTTTATTCAAAACAAAAAAAAAGAGACATAACCTTTCACTATCATTTCGAAGCTTTGAGAATAATTGATAAACATGTTCCATCTTATCTTCCATGTCATATTAATTCATATGAATTTATTGAAAAAAAACTCATGAATGAATGCGTAATTATGAACAAGCTAACTTATAGGTGGAATTTTTTCATAAGACCAGTGATTATGCTAAAGCAATCGAAATGTATGATAAAAATATAGAAATTCGTTTATGTAAACTATCAAAATCATATCCAGATATTGAATCAATTATTTCCTTAAGAAATAATTTAAAGTAATGCATGGAGTGAGTGAAATCTTGATTAAAAAATGGAGTTCATTCTTATTTATATATTGTAGAGATAATTCAGGAGTGATATTTGATTATGATTTGTCGAGTGATGAAGAACCAATGATACAATCTCATCAAGAATCTATTAATTACATGGCTGAAGAAATAGATAGTGATGAGGATTAAATGAAATTTCAAAGTTTTTTCAATTATAATCTAAGAGTTGAATTATATATCGAAAAAAAAATGGGGTGGCTGTCGGGTGTCGGTGTGGATAGCAATCACTACTTCACCCGTACAGTCCATCTTTCACCTTTAGCTGGGCATATGTTTTAAGATCTCAGAGAATCCTACTTTTACGAAGGCATCTTTTGATTTCAGATTCGTTGGTTGTTTTTGTTTGTTACTTGTTGAATGAGAGAATAAAATCCTACGATTGATTTTATTAACATTTGTCTTCCAATTACCAGCAAAGAAGAAAGATCAAATAATTTCAGTCTGACTGCGATTGAGATACAAAAGTGAAAATCGCTGACAGAAATAAGGTGTGCAAAGTTCTTCCAGCTATGATTATGGATTGTAATTGAAAATGATGAAAAAATTCTTGCATAATAAAAAAGAAAAGTTACTAAGAATAAAATAACAGATGTAGAAGAAGAGTTTACAATAGGTAAACTCTTTTTCATGTCTTTATAAACTCTTCTTTATTGAAATATTAACCTTAAAGTCAGATAAGTTACGTAAACGAAAGACAGAAAAAAGATCTTCTCATATATTTTTTTTCTTATGTTGATTGATGAATTTCACTGATAGGAACATTCTTTTCGTCAATAATGCCAGAAGTTCAAAAATTTTTCTATTTTACATGTAAATTCAAATGATGATGAATGACTGTTCCTAAATAAATAAACATAACATTCAAAATCTACATATGTTGTACACAAGTATCTCTTGCATAGTCATGATAAAGATAAAAAAAAAACTAATTAGAAAAATCATTACTATTTGAAGAATTGAAGTAAAAGATAGCTAAAAACACACAGTTATATTTAGAAGTACTTGTAAAAACAAAATGTTTCTTAGATTATACTAAACTAATAATATTTTGTAGAAAAAATTTTTATTCAAGAACCAATGATTTAAATATATTTGGAATAGAATTGTTCTAATTATTTGAAACTATTTTGTTTATATCTAACCAATAAAAGAAGATTTTCAGTTTAACCTTCGTAGACAAATAGAGAAAAAGATAAGGAGCATGTTTACTAATGAATATTTCTTTTAATTTTGAATTTCTCAGCTGAATATGGTACAATTTTTGCATTCTATTCGTTTTTTTATGTATTTTTACTAAATAAAAGAGACAATGGACCTAATTCTGGCGGAAAAAAAATTCTCCCCAGTAAATCTTTAATAATTCGACTTCCCAGTGACGTAGAGAGGTGAATTTTTTTTACCCGGCATAGAGCAAACATTTCTCTATTTATTGATGTATAATTGATTGAAAAATGTTTAACTGTTATGGCGCAATAACAGTCAAAATAGCAAAGAGGTAAAATTTCATCTCATTCTGCTCTGGATTCAAATTTGCCGATCAATGTAATTTTTTTCCTAATCATGCCGTTTACTCGTAAAATTACACTAAAATTTCGTAGAAGTTCAATTGCTCTATGAAAACGAAGTGTAATTAAAATGAAACACAAATCATTCGATTGGTGAGATGACGATGCATTGAGTCGTAGTTTTTTTAATATACATTAGTTATGTTTACTACAATTTTTTTTCCGTTTAAAAAGAAAACAAGTTATAAAATAGTCTTTTTTTGTTGCTAATTATGCCGATCCGTGTAGTTTTTTTTATTTAACTTCATTACAACATCAAGAAATGAAATCCTCTCATAAAGATACATATTTTCATCATCATTTAAAAGAAAAAAAGAATTATGAAAACTTTTGCCTGGGTAGAATATGGACAATTTTTATTGAAGAAAAAGACGTAAGGGGGAGTACGGGTCAAATTTTTCAAAAAATTATTTTTGTTTGAAAAACATATCGTTGGACTTTGTTTTTTGAGTCGAGTTCAAAAATCAGAGACATAAGTTCATTCTTTGACTTCTCTGTATTTTAAATGTCTTAAAAACTTGCGATAGCTCCAAATCCAACGGAAAACATTGTTCCCACGAAATCGAAACATTTTCGCACAAATTTTTCCAAAACACCTGCTTTCTTATGTATTAATCTCATAGAATATCGAAAATTGAGTAGAACTGTACATTTAAATATATCAACTCTTAATTTACTAGCTTTCAAATCAGAATTTCGTGGTTAAGATACCGATTGATGTCCGAACTTTGCAAACGTATGTAGTATTTTTATTCATTAAAGATAGCAAATGATGATTAGCGTAGCTATAAGAATAAATAAATTAACTGTTGGCATCAAAATATTACTATTCTATTGAGAAAATCAAATTTTTCCATGCGCATGAGAACAACATACAAAGATAATCTTGTCCTTTGCCACTTTAATCACCAAATACTTGAGTGCGGAGGTGTAAATAATGGAAATACGCACATCCAGACCCATCCACATCGGTGCCCAGCTCCAGCGAGTAATGAAAATTAGTCGTAGACCAACTGAAGGTCACTAACCGATTTATATGAGCGGATGAGCTGTTTAAACAGTTCATTTCAGTTAAGTCGAATCGCTCGAACAGCTCATTTCAAGTGAGCAGAATTGTTCGAACAACTTAATTGCGTTAATGAAGCCTTCAGAACAGTTCAATTTAAATGAACTGAACTTCAGGTATAAATATATGCTGCTCTGGAGAAATATCCTTAGGTTCTCCAGTCCTACTATTTGGGAATATCCTTAGGTTCACACACTCTAATATTGAGGGTATCTTCAGTGAAAAATATCAGGAATAAAACCGATCTAAATTAAAAAATCCTGTAAACATAATCTGAATTGAAAACCAGATATTTGTGAAACAAAATCAAAATTCTAATCGATAATAATCTAAATTATAAACAGCATAAGTTAATTAGTAGTTTCTGAT